ATTTGGAAATTCCAGAATTCATACTCTTCGCTCAAGCGTGGGAAGTTGCACTCGAACAAAGAATTTGAGCTCCCAGAAGTTTTTTAGAGTTTTGCAGACCACTCAAGCGTGGGAAATTGCGCTCGAGTGAAGACCTTGTCTTTGGCTCAAGTGACCATCGAGCGTCCGTCGAGGGTAAAAATCACGCAACCAATATTTTGCAAACTTTGCAAGTCGCTCAAGCAACCGAAGTTGCACTCGAGCGAACTGTCCTATTTTTTAAAATTTGACTAAGTGTTTCAAGTTACATTTTAGCATCCTCATTGCATCTTAGGCATTCTTAAGCCCTAATTAAGACATAATAATGAGGATAAGACTTAGAAACACACTAAGAACAAAACGTAATAAGTTAAGCATTTTCTGAGCGTTTGTGTTAGTGTGCATCCATTATCTATTTGTGTAGGTCACGCGTCGTAAGCTAGTCGATCTGTCTGCTATGTATGTCTGCTTCTAGAGCCATCTGTGAGTAATAACTTTGTAAAGTTATGTTCAATTTATAAGTATTTTCTGAATGATATAAAATGATCTATTTTCTGAAATCTTGTTTTCTGTATGAATGAATGGTTGTCCAATGTTTCTGAAAAGTACTTGTGGTATCATTAGCTTTATGTGACGTTTGTTATCTATTCTGTTATGTCCCAATTATGGGCCAACTGTACGTCTCATGAGCCAACTGTTATGGATCCTTCTATATAAGTCCAATTTATAGGCCAACTGTACGTCTCATGAGTCAACTGTACCATCTCCGTGCACGTGAGTCAATTGTATGTCTTTATGGTCGTCCCTTTATGGGTCAACTATTTCTGTTAGTGCTAATGGATGTACCACGTGCGATTAACTGTGCATTCTGATTATGAATATGATTTCATTTCTATTGTGAATACTGATTTCTGTGCAAGAATATGAATATGAATATGTTCCTGATATGAACTCTGATTTCCCTATCAATTATGGATAACATTCATTAAATCCTTTACTCTGTTATTATTCACTGGGCTCTAGTTCACTGTATTATTTATGTATGTAGGTCATCAGGCGCGCGACCAGGCTCAATGATGATTGCCTGGAATTTTGTTTTGTTGGCCAACCTTTGTGCCTTCCAAGAAGGTTCCGGAATAAAGCCGTGTGGTCGTGTTTTGTGAACTAAGTTTAAGGCTTTGTTTTATTTTCGTAAAATTCGAACAAGTTTCTGTTTTTCTGTAAATTGGGCCAAGTCCCATTTTGGTTTTATCAATATATGTGTGTGACGTAAAACTAATGTAAATATGACGTCACATGTGTGTATATAAAGTTCTAAATTTCTATTTCATGTATGTCTGCATAGCATTATGGACGTTGTATTTTGTATAATTGCTTCTGCCAGCCCATTAATTATATGTTATACTATACAAAGGCCTTCGGTAATCCAAGGATTACTGGTCGGTTACGATGCTAAACCTGTAGGGGCGAGTTTGGGTCGTCACATTGACTCCCCATGCAGGTACCAAATACAATACACAACTCAAAACCACCCGACTCACTACTCGGACTCATAGACTATTTACTCCCTTCTTAGCTTTCCACTATTTGCACCATCCATTGAATCACAAAGGAAATTTAGTCATGCATATGATGCATGAATTTGTAAATACTCCTTTTTCCTAAAATGATTTCCAATAAGCCCAATTCACTATTTCACCTTTCAATATTAACCATGGTTCATTCAACAATTATCACCAACACAAGTCGTATGTAGAAAACAAACATTTCTAACCCCAAGGTTAAGCAATCACCCTCAATTTCATGTTTTAAGAATCAATTGAACAAAACCCCTCTTTTTAAAACAAGTTTTAAAACTAGGGTTTATAGAAAATTTAGAGGTTTCCTCTCTTTCATGAATTAGAGGCTAAATTTCTTCACCAACAACAATAATCATCAAAGATATCCATAATTCTATCCTTAATCATGAATCATTACTCATCTTCTTCCAAATCATTCAATAGCAAACATAACTTATAGATATATGCATATACGTATATATATATATATATATATATATAAGTATCTACTATATGAATAACTAATGAAATTACCACATATGAGTTCCAATTTAAAGGTATAACAAGTTAAGGACACCCCTACCCCAAACATAGAAGGTGAAGTGAAGAATCCAAGCAAAACCTCAACCAATTCGCAAAATAATCAGTGAAAAGCTTGAACTTGACTTGCTCTTCAATTATCTTGAAAGATCTTGGGTGAATTTAGAGCAAAATGTTAAAAAATCAAGTGGTTTGGGGGCTAGGGTTTTAGAATGGGTAAGAGAGAGAGAGAGAGAGCAATTGGAAAAAGTGAGGAAAGAATGAGTTGTATCGACTTTTAATTGAGCTATCTTGAACAGACAACTCGAGCGAACTTTCTATCGCTCGAGCAAACAACACAAATTCGAGGAGATCGCTCGAGCGATCTTTTTACCGCTCGAGCAAAAAAGAAGATGTTCTGGAAGTTTTGCAGAACTACAGTGAAAATACTAGGATCATGAAATCTATACTCAAGTGACCACTTCACCGCTCAAGCGGTCTCGCTTGCAAAATAGCAAACTACTGAGAGTTACAAATCTTCGCTCGACCGATCATATGATTGCTCAAGTGGTCCTCAAAACTCAATTGTCACAAGTTTACCAAATACATAAACAGTGTCACATTTGTCACATAAATACATAGCAAAGGAAATAATTTAAGTTAAAATATACTATTGTTGTTGTTATTGCAAGAAGGTAAGAATAACAAACTTTACAACATGCTAAAACTTGTTTATGGACATACATATATATTTATCACAAGGCTAGACAAGATGAATGATAAGGATTGCACATCTGAAAAGATTGTTGCAGAAGAAGTACAAAATGACGAAGATCAATATGAAATGGCAAAATAGAAATACAATAAATTTTCAAAGTTTAACCGCAAAGAGAATCAAACTAGAGAATGAATGAATTTTGTAAAGATATTTTTATCTTTCAATTTCCTTTACTTAATTTATTTCAAAATAATAATAATAATAATACAATATCAGTTGGATGCTTTATTTTTTCACCTTAAATAATAATATTACAATGTTAGTTATGTATTTTATTTGTTCATCTCTTAATTACAAAATGGTTTCTAAATACATATATATAACAAAAGTGAAACAACATGGTGAATTTTATATTTAATAGTAATAAGTCAACCATGTGATACGAACTACAATTATTTTATGTGATTGTTTGAATCTACTTTTTGAATTTTAATGCTTAAACAGAAATATAAATGCCCTCCATACGTAGGAATTGATACATTATTTTCTTAAATTGACAAAAAAATTCCACACATGAAGGACATGGAGTTTGGTTGGACTCATAATCTGACCTGTTAATTTTCAACTAACAGTATCTCCAACCCATTAAGCATATAAAGCTTGTTAGTCAAAATGCCCAGTATGACCCACTTTTTCAACTACAATGCATTTGAGCATTTTAGCTCAACTCATATTCACTAGTTACATGTAGCTAACCTTCAAGGTTAGACAAAATGTATTTAATCATTAGAATCATTTCCCTCCATCTTTGTTGCTGATGTGACATTCTATAAAATTAATAGTATTTAGATGAATAACTAAAATAAAGAGTGTGGTTGGAATAGAAATATAATTGTTAATAGCAAAATAAAATATATATTTTATAGTAATGTTTAAATAGGTAAAATATCTATTACCGTTAGAGATACTCTAAACAATGCACTACTCCATAGAATCAACATAGAGTCCTATCCATAGTTTAAATACCACCACACACAAACAACGCCTACATACAAATTATCATACATAAATCTACACGTTTTATGTTATTCACACTAGCCATTCACATGCGCAATTTGTGTAATTTAAATAAAAATATATATTTATTATTTATATTGTATAACAATATTAATTTCATTTGTAAAATCATTTTATTTAAATATTACCTAAAAGTATATAAATATATCAACGACAAAATATTTAAATATTTAAACACTTTAACTTTTTAGACTTTTAAACATAAATATTAAATATTAAAAAAAAACGAAATAATTATAACCAAAAAAACTATTACAAAACCTAAAATTCATAAAATATGTATATACAAAAAGTATGTATCTGGTGGTGTTTGAGATGTTTGTTTTTGATTTTTTTTCACTAAAAGACAATTGATTATAAAATTAAAAATAAATAAATTCAAACAAAATATCACATCAAATTTCATAATCATTTCACATTTTCACTCATAAATATCACATCCAACCATAAAAAATTTTAACTATCTTTTCAAATATAAAAAAAAAAATTTATTCAATAATATCTTCCAAGTAAAAAAACCTACCAAAAAAAAAAAACTCGTTTTCTAAACGCCCATTATGTATATATAAAATTATTAGGTTATCCACCCAAAAAGTACACCCTCACTAATTTTTATGAAATTATAAACAATAATTTGAAGTATGTTTGCTTTGAGTTTGAGAAATGAGTTTTAGAGATAAAAAGTACAAAAAGTTATTTGGTTTGATTTTTTTCAAAAGATATTTTAAAAAATTATTTTGAGAGAGAGTTTTAAAAAAAGTGATTGATTTGATGTGTATGAGAGAGAGAGATTTGTTTGGAAAACTTGTAAACCAAACAAGTTTTGAGAAATTTTTTTGAAAAAATTTGTTTAGTTTAATTACTTTTAAAAATTTATTTGTGGAGAATTTTTTCCAAAATTTTTTGAGAAACACAAACCAAACAAGACGTTGATCTTTATTTCATTCCAAAACAATCTAAATCAGACCGTGCTCAGCCTATCGCTTCGTCAATCGAACGGTACAGATAGCGTTCTCCTCATCACCGCATTTGGAAATCATCGAATCGGACACCGGACATGGAGGTAGCACGATACGTTACCATGCACCTGCATTCGTAATAGTCGACCCATCATTTACCTACGCACCAACCGTTCCTTCCGGTCTCCCACTCCTCCACCACAGCTTTTCTTTGTCTATCTACTAAACCCTACAAGTTTCATTTCCTCCGCTCCGCAGCTCTCTCTCTCCCTCTCTCCCTTTATCACTCACTCTCTACAGTCTGTTCCCTGTCCTCGCTTAAGATCATGGGTGAGCACTTCTTTCTTCAATTTTGTTGTGGCAATCATTTTATTCAGTTTTTGACAGTCGTATTCTAATTGTCTCTCTTTTTTTTAATTATTTTTTGGGGGATTTATGGACAGGCAAGATCAAGATCGGAATCAATGGTACTAGATCTAAACTTGGATCCTTTTGTTTATGTTCCCAATATTATTATTATTATAGGAGTTTTGTTGTAATCATGAAATGGTGAAAATTAACTCTTTCTCCTACAGGCTTTGGAAGGATTGGCCGGTTGGTGGCCAGAGTGGCTCTGCAAAGAGACGATGTTGAGCTCGTCGCTGTCAACGATCCCTTCATCACCACTGATTACATGGTTCTGCTTAAAACGCCTTCTTTAATCTCATAATCATGGGTTTCGTATCTATGTATTATTTTTAGTACTACTTTGTATTGTAATTAGTCTGTATGTGCTCTGGGTTTAATTTGTACTCAAGTTAATAAGTGGATCTGAAGTTTAAACTGTCCGATCGGAATACAAAACATGATCCTGTTAGGATATGATTCCGATCTGTTGAATTTTGGAGTTATTTGCATTTGGGTTAATGCTTTTGATGTTTTTAAGTGTATGATCTGAAGTAGTGGGGTCTTCTGTCTCTGTTAAGCTACTAGTAGTAGTGGTAAGGTGGTTGTTTATATTTATTTGTCTTGTTGTTGCAGACTTACATGTTCAAGTAGGGTGTTTGTTTATATTTATTGGTTTTGTTGTTGCAGACTTACATGTTCAAGTATGATAGTGTTCACGGTCAATGGAAGCATCATGAACTCAAAGTGAAGGATTCCAAGACCCTTCTCTTTGGTGAGAAAGCAGTAGCTGTTTTTGGCCTTAGGTATAAATTCCCAACTCTCTTTCCATTCATACGATAGATCCATTCCCATTTATGTAAAAAAGGGTGCCTATATATATATATCTATGTATGTACAATTTTAAGTTTGGAAGAGATGTTGAACTTATTTCGTTGATGGGATGGATGATTGTTAGGAACCCAGAGGAGATCCCATGGGCTGAGACTGGAGCCGAATTCATTGTGGAGTCCACTGGTGTCTTCACTGATAAGGATAAGGCTGCTGCCCACTTGAAGGTTTGCTTGTCCTATTCATATGCATACACATGGGCGGCTCTACCCTTTGTGGACAAGTTTTGATAGCTTTATACTGTGTTTGGTTGGGGGATGGTTGGGGGATTTAGTGAGGGATTTGGAAAGAGAAATGGAAAAGGTATGTGAAATGTGAATAAAACATGCCTATATTTCACCTAGTTTCACACACATTTTTCCTTTTCCTTTCCAAATCTCTCTCCAAATCCCTCCTCAAATCTCCCAACCAAGCACAACATTAATTATTTAAATTTACTACTTTAGCCCTACTAATAGTTATATGTTGTGGGTTTGTGCATTATGTGGTGGTATTCACAACTTGTGTTTGTATTCAAAAAATAATTACATATTTTTATTTGAAAAATGTTGGGGAGATTTACAATTTAAGTATTACAATTTACTCATAATGATATGGTAAATTATGAGTATCAATTTTTTCCCCAAATCATCCAATCTTAAAGAGTAATTCGAATGATGAAAGTTAAATTAATTTTGCCAAAACACACAATTAGGACCTAATTATGGGGGGTTACACATCTGATTAAGTTTATTTTTATTTTTTAAATAAATAATATGCTCCATGAACCCTACAATGTAAACGATTGCATTTGTTTAATCTTCTACTCCATTCACTTTCGGAAAGCAAACTTTTTCATAATAATAATTTTAAATATTATTTAATTAATTGAAATGAAGGTTAAATGCAATTGAATTGAATATTCTTCTTTAACCTCTACCAAAAAATCAAATTAACAAAAAGAAAAAAAAAAGGAACTATGCAAGTCGCACGGGCCTAATTCACTGGTATATATATGTGTGTGTTAAAATTTTTCATTCTCTAAGTTGAATCCCCTGCCTCTCCCCATTGAACACCCAACCACCCCAACTCACTTGGTTAAGCATTCACCCCACTTCATTGAACACCAAATTCATAGCCCATGAACTCTTAAAACAATAATGTTAGATTGCCATATTTTCTTGGGAAATTTAGTCAAACCTTCCATTGGACATTTGTTTGGTAAAAATGACAGCTCAATTTATTTTGCTTCATAAACTCTCTAAAGAGGGGGCGCATAATTGAGTAAGGACAAAGTGGGTGTTTGGGAAGTTGCTATTTTAATAGGCTAAAATTTGTGTGCTTGGGAAGATAGTTGGATTTTTTTTTAGTTAGATGTAATGTTTGTGAGAGAAAGAGTGAAATAATTATGGGTTTTATGTGACATTGTCTTATTAGCTATTTTAACTTATTTTGTCATTTTGTGGATTTTAGCTCAAAAAGCCAAAAAAAACCTTTGCCAAACACCCCCAAAGTAAAATATCATTTTTTTTTCTTAGACAATATTACCAAAGTAATATGTTACTGTGAGAGAGCTTACATCAATTTCAACGGTAATATTTTTTTTTTTTTTTTTTTAAGAATTTCATAGTTAACATGAATCTTATTTGATAGATCTTAATGAAGATTCTAAAAATATTAATTTTATTAAAGCCGACATCTAGATGAAAAGTTATATTATATTATTTTAGAGTTTAATATTTTGGTAATAGTGGTATGTGTTGGACTTTTTAAGGAAAACTTTTTGTGAGAGGGGTTTTGATTAAAGTTTTATTATGAGGGGGTTTTTGACCAAATTCCCCTATTTTCTTACCATAATCTGTTTATTACCTTTCTGTCAATATCGTATTAGTTTAATGAATATCACCACTAATGCTTGTTAAGTTGTTAGTAATATAGGAATGAGAGAAATAATAAATGGTAAGAAAATTTTGTCATTAATGTTTTTTTTATATATATATGGTTTAAGTTTATATATACACTAGTGGTTGGGCATGTGGGTTGCACGTAGTATGTGATTTTTCATCAACTTGTAGTATTGTAATTATGCGTCTCTTAAATTGGTATGTGATATGTATACAAAGTATGGAGACTTGTATGGGTAAATTGATCTGTATCCAAAATACAACTAAGTAAAAAATAAATACATACTCGGTTGAAGAATTTAAATGATAGAAGATAAATTTTATAAACATAAACATTAATTTATAGTTAAATTGTTGAAATCGCAATCTTATCTTAAACAATAAACAATAAATAGGTCCTTTAAATATATAATTTAACACAAATCTTTTTCTATCAACTTTCCACTTTAATTTTTTGTAATCCATACCTATAATACAATTGAAGGTATAAAATTAATTGTACAATTACACAATTTTGTTTAATAATTCATCTTATAATACAAATATATTGAGTCTACTATTACATATTATTTGCATAATATTGGTGTAAGAATTCATTAATATCAATATGTAATATATTTTTATACATCAAGAGTTGAGTTGAGTTTCCTGTGTCACGAATATCTTGGATGATGAAAAATATAACATTAGTCATTAGTATATACAGTTGCTAAATAATTATCGTGAAAAAAAATAAATATACAAAGTACAATTATTATCATGATGTACGTGTTTTCCAAAGTCTTGACTTGTTATTGAAAGTGTTTGATGTGGACACTTGTTTGTATGATATGTATGTATATTTATTGAACATAAGTTAATAGGAGAATAATACACAATTTTACAGTTTTTTTCTAGTAAAAATATAACTATATTACTAAAACAATACATATTAGAAAATTAAAGTATCCGATGGTAATATAACATTACAGATTGACAATGCATGTATACAATTACATATGTAATTTTATGTTTATATTTTTTTATATGTATTTATATATATAGACATTGACATGTATAAGATATCACAAAAATAATGTGAAATCTTTTACAACAGTATGATAAGGCAACAATGAGAAGTTAATTATTTACAATTAAATAGTTGGTCATTATGTAGATGTTTAGTGTTATATTTTTGTGTGTATGCATTATTTTTATTTAGATTATTAAATTCACATAAATTAGAGATTCGTGAAGAAAGGTTTAAAAAAAGAAAAGTTTATAGTGTTTGCTTTGGTTTGTTATTTCAAACTTTTGTTTTGAATTTTTTGATTTTCATGTTTTTTGTCTTATTTTCTGTTTTGTTGCTGGATTGATTTTGGATTATTGTTTTTTATGTTTAATCTTAGAGGACCCTCTTGTCTTCTCATGTACTCTCTCTTTTTATTTTAATAGACACCCCCTTTTTGTACCAGTACAAAATTTTTTTTTTGTTGATAGTGCTTTTCTAGTTTCAATTATTATTCTAAAACAATTTTCAAATCAGATAATTCTAAATTGTTGGCTCTATTGTTTTTAGCTATTGTTATTTTGTGGCAACTGTCATCAGTTTTCACTATAACATATAGATCCCGGGTGGTTTGCCAAGCATGTTGGTTCCTGTAGTGTGTGTTTTTCATCCATGTATATGTAAATCGTTTGGGTTGCCTTCAAGCTGTCAAAAACATTCTAGACACTGGTTGTGATCAATTTGGACTCTTCTCCCTCATTTGCATTATTTAAACATTTTCAGAGATTAAATATATTGATCATCCAACTGCGTTAATTTGAGTTCGTATCTTTGATCATCAGGGTGGTGCAAAGAAGGTTATCATTTCAGCCCCTAGTAAGGATGCTCCCATGTTTGTTATGGGTGTCAATGAGAAGGATTACAAGCCAGATCTTCACATTGTTTCCAATGCTAGCTGCACTACCAACTGTCTTGCCCCCCTTGCTAAGGTCCTGTTCCTTGTTTTCAATTTTCTTATGTGGCCCTGTTTCCCAAATTTCTCGAGTAAAATGAAGAAGTCATGTGATTGATCTAACGTTACTTGTTAATGTGCAGGTTATCAATGACAAGTTTGGCATCGTTGAGGGTCTCATGACTACCGTGCACTCCATCACAGGTGAGTTTTTATAAATTTTTGTTTAGCCTGTCATAGTTGCAATGTATATTCATTCTGTGTCTTTGTGATTCAGCCACACAAAAAACTGTTGATGGACCATCAAGCAAGGACTGGAGAGGTGGAAGAGCTGCTTCATTCAATATCATTCCTAGCAGCACTGGAGCTGCCAAGGTATTGAAGGGCTCTATGGAGCTGTTTGGATTCAACTAATGATGTATTTGTTTTGTGGAAAACACTCTATCAACAGATGTTTGTTTAGTTGTTTGTGGATAACACTATTGAGAATTCTGAAGTTTTTCTTGTTCTGCTTATTTGGATTCCTGTTCCAGTTATATTTGGTTCCTAACCCCTATCTTATTGTATGCGAAAATTTGTGGTTTCTAAGGCTGTTGGTAAGGTGCTGCCTGCACTTAATGGGAAATTGACTGGAATGGCTTTCCGTGTTCCCACTGTCGATGTCTCAGTGGTTGACCTCACTGTGAGGCTGGAAAAGAAGGCTACTTATGATGAAATCAAAGCTGCTATCAAGTAAGGATGAAGAATAATCTTCTTCTTTTTTCTGAGAAAAAAGAGGTGATATTTATGTGTGTAGGTGTTAATGTTAATTCCATGCTTTTCCAATGTTTCCTCGAGTATTTACAAGTGTTGTGATATGCTCGTCTTTCAACTGACTCATTTGAAGTCTATTTTTGTTGGTGTTTATTTATATGTTGGGTGGTTATCAGGGCAGCGTCTGAGGGAAACATGAAGGGGATCTTGGGTTACACCGAGGATGACGTGGTATCCACTGACTTTGTGGGCGACAGCAGGTAAAGTTACAGAAAGCCATGCCTGGTTCTTTTTATTTTATTTTATTTATTTCATTGACACTTTGTAAAAAGTAATAATTGACGATCATTTTCAAAGTAGCTGCTATTTTAGTAGGATATTATGACCTTTAGATTGTGATGTTTAATTCATTTGCTATTGAATTTCAAGGTCGAGCATCTTTGATTCCAAGGCTGGGATTGCTTTGAATGATTTCTTTGTTAAGTTGGTGGCATGGTATGACAACGAGTGGGGTTACAGGTAACTTTCTAGCTTTCTTGTTAAATATGGTTGCATGATATGTGACCCTACACTTTTATATTTTGTGGTTGGCATACCTTTAATTTCATGTGGTGGTACACTTTTTTATTGTAGTCTTGACATGTACTTTTTTAACTTATCCTTGGCACAAGGGCATCATGGATAGATATCACTGTCATGGGGTTGGTTAATTGTTATCCAACATCTGCTGCTGATTTTTTGCTCTCTTTTTGTTGTGTTGCAGCACGCGTGTGGTTGATTTGATCGTTCACATGGCAAACACTTGCTAAGTTGTGTGGAAGGATTGGCTTTAATACGCATATATGCTTCTGTGTTGTTGTTTTGCTTTATGAGAGATGCGAGAATCTGAATAAAAATGAATTTTGGGACATGGCTCCCTAGACTAATGTTGTCTGAAAGTGTGTTTGTCATGGTTTTTAGGGTTTCGTACTGGGGTTGGTATCAGATCAGCCCATGTTTTTAACTAAGGTCCCTGAGTCCCGGTTTTCCAATTTGAAATCTGTGTTGTTTCTATTTCTATTTCTAGATCTTTTATTTTGCATGGCAGGCATGTTCTACAGGCATGTTCTACACGGCATAAAAGGAAAGCAAACTAATTTCCAATTTACTTAGGTAGTATTTGGTTCATAAATTTGGGAAGAGATTTAGAAAGAAATGAAAAATGCGTGTGAAATATAGGTAAAGTATAATTATATTTTATTTGTATTTTGTCTATTTTTTTTCCTTTTCTTTTTCATTTTTAAATCCCTACCGAAATCCTTGGACGTGTCAATATAACATGCAAGTCACACGTGTATGTGAAGGTTTCTAAATTTTGTACATGTTGACAAATAAAGTAGGTGAACATAAACATTGGTGCTGTTTGATAGAGTTTTTTTAAGTTAAAAGTCGATAATCAAAAAGTAGAAGCGAAAAACATTCTTATCTAATGTTTCAAATAATTAATTTTTTTTAACTTATTTAAATTATTTTTACTTAATAAGCTATAAACAGAAATTGTATCAAATAGTTTAGTATAAATTTCTAAATCAAAACAAGTTATACTCACCTTCAAAAATTGTAACAAGCAGTCCCATTGTAAGACAATCGATTAAATTATATAGACTATTTCTAACACTTAGCAACTTTATCAACTTTTTTATTTATTTATTTATTTATTTTTTCTTTTTATTGTTTAGCTAAAATAGTGGCTAAATCATTGAAATTCACTTCCATCAAATTACTTACAGTTGGTCATTTTAGGTCTATTTTGGCAATTGGATTAAAAAGTTAATTTTTTTGATTTTCTGTCTTCTTTGGGGTCATATCATCTCTTTATTTTATTTTTACTTTTTTTTTTAATAAAAAAAAAAAGTCAATTGTTTTGGCTCAACAAATGTAATTAGTGATTTCACCTAGTCAAACATTCAAATATTTTGAAATTAATTATTTTGAGTTCATAAAAAAATAGTTCTAACTTTAAATGAATAGAAATAATATAGAAAAAAAAATAGAGAGTTTGTTAAACAACGTATGTAAAATGTATAGTTAAAATAGAAAATATAACTTCTAATTGAAAATGTAACAAAATTTTAACTAGTTTGATAGAGGTCCTTAAGAAGTGTTTGGAAATTGGTTATTTTTGGTATTTTTTAGTTTTTTAAGAAAAGACATGTACAAAAAATAGAGAGAATGGTTTTATTTTCTGTAGTGATTTTGTTTGTTTGTTTGTTTGTTTGATGTTTCTTGGTTGGTTCCCAAACAAGTTTTTAGCCACACAATCAAGCACATGAGCCTAAATATGTCAATTAGGTGTCATAACCCGAACTTGCCCCAAGAGATTTAGATCATAATCGGCCAATAATCATGAGATTACCTAGGGCCTCGGACATAAATTCAAAATATAAATAATTATATGGGATCAGAAGCGAAAGCAGAATAATAAAATTGTCCAACGAGCTATGCATATATGGCATAAACAAAAACATCTTATACATTAATAACTTACATTCGTACAAACACACATTCATTACAGATTGCATATTTAAAGACTTATACATAAGAGTACAATTCATCATCTTACAAAACATAAATTCTTGTAAACAAAAGATTTAAATTCTTGTAAACAAAATATGGTCAAATATGACTAACAAGAACAAAAAGACAAAAGCCTAATCTAAGAGGCATTCCTTGGTGGACATCACAAAGCTTAGGTAAACTTCCAGGCAAACTCTAGGGCTGAACATCCTGTTGCTCACTACATACATATATATAAGAATGAGCTAAAGCCCAGTGAATAATATCCAAGTAAAAGGTTTCGTGAATGAGTTCCAAAGTTTAATCATAATCTTTACCATATCATATTCATTACACAACGGAACGACCTCTGGTCTAATATATGACAGAACGACCGTTGGTCCAACATATAACAGATGTATAGAATAGAATAGATCATAACTTGACAGAATGACCTTGGGTTCAATTGATTATAGCTATATCAGATCATTACAATGACCATTTGGTCAAACATATAACAGATATCACAAACTTTTCAGATATTCAAAACAACCTTAGCTCCACTGTCACAATCCAAAACTGCCCCTAAAGGTTTTGGACATGACCACGTCAGAAATAAAACAAAAACCAATATACGTAACGCATGGGGCCTGAACGGAAGTACCTAACAACCAAAAATTCTATGCCATTGAGCTATTACTATTATGCCAGGAACATCATATCAAATAAATAATATACAGGAAATATACACACATACATCGACTCAGCCCATAATTGGGTGTATGACAAAACATATTAACGAAAGATAATCAAAGCATAAATCCCAAAAACATAACAACACGCTAAAAAATGCACGGGCTTCAGTTAGTGCCTGGGTACACCGAGGTTGACAAGAGGGAGACGAATCTTAAGGGTTAGGACTGGCCTCTCAGTTGATTACCTACAGAAACAGACAAAATATAGAATGAGTGAAACTCAGTGAATAATAGTACATAAATAATGTAAGGTTTAAATAAAGCATAAAACTGCAGAGGCATATGATTGATTTCATTATGTAATTATTCCAAAATAGCCATGGATCCAGTTTTCTTAATAGAGTGGTTTTAAGCCCAGAACAGCCATAGGTCTTCAGATACAAAACAGTCATAGGCCCAAAAATAACGGAACAGCCTTTCAGCCCAGAAATATATACATAACAGCCTTTCGGCCCAGAAATATATACAGAACAGCCTTTTGGCCCAGAAATATCTATGTATAGACTCAAGAGGTGGCTCCCACCAAGGTGTAGCACTTTGTTCCATACCAGAATATATCAGAACAGATTAACTTCAGGATCATATAGAACATACACACATTCTTCCCTTTATTCACGTGAATTATCATAGATAATATCAGTTTAACAGAATGTTGCTGATAATTATTCGCAAAAAGGTAAATATATTTTACAGAGTGAACGCTTCCAGAAATATGTAGATACCACAGTTCCATAATGCATATACCTCCCATGTGCTTATCATGTTTCAATACTATTAACTAGCATATAACATAATGCTCATATTCATTATCCGTAGCAAACAAAACGTTTAGTGCAATGATGCACTTAGATTTCTTCATGGTTCTTTGAAAGTCGGCATACTTGTCTCGTAATTAACAGAACCTTAACATTAACAATAATCTGAGAGTAAAGGTACCAGTATATCAGTAGGTCAGAACAATTATATCACAACATGAGTCACATAACAATGTCGTTGATACTCAATTCCTTTCTATTAACTGGCTTCACCGTTTAATACTTTGTATGACATTTTGATACAGAATCATAGGTAATTTTTAGGATGGTACATTACTAGCAACCATTAGTCATAACCAAAATACAGAGGAGGTTCAGAGTCATACCAATGCACACCCAAAATCTTGCAATGTTCCCATTGATTCCCAACATGCGATTAACATAACTACTTGTGAAGAGCAGAACGTTAAACAAAAGAATTATTAATGGTAATCAAATGTGCGATTCCTATACTATTACTCACAGTATTATTGCGGAGTGGTGGTTCCTCCTGTGGTGTGTCATACACACATAGATAACACATTAGTTTCTTTCTCCTTTTAAACCATTTCTTGCATTATTACATTTTAATTACATGTACAATCATCAAAAAGTATCAAACACAAATTCTGAAAAGAGCTGAGGGTTAAACACGTAAAACGGAGCGAACGGGATTTCTGACCTGGGCCGCACGTGCAGCCATACCCTCCGCTCGTGCGGACATGTACCGCACGTGCGGTCTCTCTCCACCGCTCGTGCGGCCAAAAACAGTATGCTTTCCCAAATTTTTTACTCTTCTCCGCATGGGCGGCCACGTCCTCCGCACGTGCGGTCTGGCCCCTGTTTGGCAGTCCGAAAATCATACAAAATCCCCTTCTTTGGTGATCATCTAAGAGGTCCAAAATAGCTTCTTTACATACCAAAACATGGTTCAAAAATTGGGTAAACAAGACTATAAACACCATCATTTGAACATGGAAAATCCATTAATCACCACCACAACTTATATACACACATGTATAACCATTTGTTTACACAAGTATCAACATGGTAATTCATGACATGAGTTGTAGATTTCTTCTTAGATGACCCATATTAAGTTAAAATCATCAAATAGTAGCATTATTTTACTAACAGATCAACACACCCATCCAATTTTCCATTACAACTCTGGGTTACACCATATTAAGCAATTCCTTCCCCAAATTAAAAAGAAAGGATAGAATTAGAGAAATTGAACTTACCTTAAACTTCCTTCCCTAAATGCCCCCTCAAATTTTCAATTCTTTACCTTCTTGATGCTCTTGTCTTTCCCCACTTCTCAAAACCCTTCTCTAGTTTTTTTTCCTCCAGGAGATATTCATGGAGCTTCTAAGTCAAAGATGCCTAAGACTTAATATAGATATATATGTTTCTAATAAGACAAAATTCAATCGTTTAATCATCCCAAATTGAAATTACACAGAAAATCTCATTATAGCTTAAAAATCATGCAGATTTGAGATGTCAAATCAATTTCAGAAAATTAAGTCTCTAAGGCGTCCAATTTCAGATTCAAATAGTTTAAGTGCGACAAATAATTTTCTTATTCAACAGATAGGAAGCCATATTTCCAAGTTTCACTTAATTCAACGTAATTTCACATAGAGTTTCACAATAAGCATTCAAAAGCACAGAATAGAGGGCTGAAAAGATACCAGAATCATGTACGAGGGTCGGGTTATTACACTCTCCCCCCCTTAAATAAGTTTAGTCCTCCAAACTTGTTTTACCTCCGGATCAAAATAAATGTGGATATTGATGTTGCATCTCCTCTTCTTTTTCACACGTTGCTTCGGTTCCGTAATGTTCTTGCCATTCAACTTTTACTATTAGGATCTCTCGATTCCATAATTGTTTCACTTGACGGTCCAGAATTAGTCCAAAGGTCTTAACATATTATGTATCTCACAATTTGATCCAACTAGTTGTTTCG